GCTTGATAGTAGCGGCCCTTCACATATGCGCCTACCCATTATGTTAATAAAAGTACGTTGAATGATGAAATTATTTCTAGTATACCATAGTAGTAATAATTGTATTTGTCTGTTTGCAAAATAAAATAATAAGGAAAAATGTTAGATACAAATAGAAAAAGATCTATATACTGTTATAGACATTGTCTGATACTTTTATGTACATTTTCATGTCAAAGTAACTTTTCTACGATCGATTTTGATTCAACGAGAGAGCATGCTTACTTTAAATAATATGCGAAAAATTAGTAAGAATTAAGTGTACCTGTGTCATCATCGTCATCACTTGATGATGAAGATGATCCTTTTTCTTCCTCTTTTTTTAACATATAATCGATGAGAGGCTGGAATTGTTTTGCTTCCTTATTATCGGGTTCATACATTAACACAAAATGACATAATTTCTTTGCAACGGTCCATCTACGAAACATGATAGAATTAACAAACTAGAAAATAAAAATGATTATTTAGAAGAAGAAAAAAGATTAAAATATGTTCTGTATTTCATTTACTTCAGTCATCAGTTGAAGGGGTGCTCGAATTGGTTCGCTGTCATCGTTTTCTTCTTCATCAGATGATGTATGTGGATCAGAATTTTCTTTAAAACAGAAAAAATAGAGTAAACAGGAGTATTATCTATGTATTTTTCTTACTATTTTTCACTACTCCATTCACATGCTGGTTTTTTTGTGTAAGAGTCTTGTACGATGATGTTGTTGAATTCTTTTTAGATTTATCCTGCTTTTGACTAGAACCAAAAATAATATTTGAAAGAAATGAGCACGAAAACAAATCTGTTCTTTTTAGATACCTGTCACCAGATTTAACTCGTTGTTTATTCTCACTATTAATGTTTGACTTTTTCAAATTACTAGCCATTATTAAGAATGATCTAAAACTGTTAAGACATCATTACTTGATGAAGCGTCAAAAGAAATCACGATTGAATTCGACGTCCAAGATCGTGATAAGTCATTTTTATAGTTGATCTTAGCGAACGTGTTCGTAAATCTGTAATTTTGAACATAAATTTGAGAGAAACAAAATTCTTAGAGAGTGTCAACTGTAATATTTCGATTATTCAAAATTCCTTAATAACTAACGTGCCGTGGTTTTTGTCGAATTAGTATTTTTTCAGTTATTTTCAGAATTTAGCAGCGACCACGTCAGACAGAAAAAATTGATGACGGTTTCAGTACGGTTATTTGTTTATTATTCCACTATTATTCCACTCTTTTACTACGAAGTTTGTATTGGACAAAGCAAAGGACTAATCAGAAAGCATTCCGTTGACTTCAACATAGAAAAAAAAATATGTCTTTGTATTGCTTTTGGTCATGTTGTTCGTAGTTACGTAATTAACAGTACGGTATTATTTAAAGATGAGTGTTTTGGTCTCAACTCCGAGTCGTAACGTTCAATCTTTATAAAACTAAAGTGGTTATACGACACGAGAATGCAAATTATTCTAGGCTACATCCATCTGAAACCCACAGCGATATGCAAAAGCTCGAATGCCAGTAACGAGACTCATCTGATTTAGTAGAACACATCAAGTTGTACCAAAAACCTAAACCGGAGCTCCTATGTTGATGCAAAACTCAAATATCTTCATCTACTTCTTTTCTCTTTCTTCTTTAGGCTCTCTTTCCTCTCTGTGTATGTACTGCATACTATCCTTTTCAAATTATAAGAGTCCTAGTTGTGTTTTGAATAACTTTTGATAGAAATGAGATGGAGACTTGCAGTTTTCACCATTCGAACGAAGGGATTTGGAGGCATATTTCTATAACAGAAATCTTTTCAGAACGGTTTCTAGTGGTTCTTTAGACAATTCCATTGTGTCTCAAAAACTTTCAATACGATTATATTGATTGTTTTTTATGGATTGATTTTCTTGGAGTTCCACGACCGGTACCTCATACCTATGGTAACCTCGAAAATGGATGGCCTATAGGTAATCAATCATGCGCTGAATCTTGGACGATATTTGTTTTTGGAAAAAGATTTTCTAAATTGGTTTTGGTAGATATCTTATAAATGGAACAAAAATTAGAAATATTGTATATTCTGTCTGAGGTTTTGAACTCGTTCTAGGATTTTTTCGAGTGAGTAGTGCCTTTTTTAATATTCGGTGAAAACAGGTTTGATTACCTATAGTCCATCCATTTTCGAGGTTACCATAGGCATGAGGTACCGGTCGTGGAACTCCAAGAAAATTCGGTACCATATCCAAACCACTGAAAATCAAGATCTCGCTTGAATCCCATTTTGAAGAGAACACTCTGGGATATCAATCCATAAAAAACAATCAATATAATCGTATTGAAAGTTTTTGAGACACAATGGAATTGTCTAAAGAACCACTAGAAACCGTTCTGAAAAGATTTCTGTTATAGAAATATGCCTCCAAATCCCCTCGTTCGAATGGTGAAAACTGCAAGTCTCCATCTCATTTCTATCAAAAGTTATGGTTTTCAATTCCTTTATATCAACATCTTTTTTAGTTAATGCCGAAAGAAATTTTGACTGGCTTACTTTTCTTTCAAGTTCAAAGTGACTACCAGTTCCGTCGTTCACATCTAGGAAAAAAATCCTCTTATCCTGTACTAGTCTGAATATATCCGTAGTTGAGACTGAGTGAGTCGAAAAAACTTTTCTTCAGATATACATAAAAACTTATCAGAAGTACACCGGAATGAAATCCCCTATTTGTCAACATCTAGCTAAGGGCGTGGTTGGCATGTTAATCTAGACTTTTCTGCAAATACTGTGTTTACAGAAACAGCCTTCTTGTCTACTTTTACGGTGGAAAGTGGTCAATGATAAATTCAATAATAAGTTCAAATTTGAATGAACAAAAACCCAAAGCATCTACTCGTTCTATTGAATAAATTCGATTAAATTTTATATATATTTGCTTAGGTTGACAGTATTCTTATCCCATTACTAACATTTTTGCATGCACAAAACTTGTCAAAACATTACCTATGAAGGTTACAGTACAACACCAAATCGATACACTACAAAAAGTTCAGTTCATTTGTCAAGAGTAGTAACTATAGCAAAGAGTTGTAGTTGATTGCAGCAAAAATCGATATTTACAAAATATTTATTGTTCGAATGCATTCTACATACAAGCAGAAAGAAAAAGAAAAACAATCACATTAAACATAACACCAACAAAAACATTGTACGCATATTGAATCGATTGAAAAATATAAATAAACAGAAGGGTAATTAAACGAACATTCAAGAAGATTTTAATGTTTAACTTTGAAAAATACGCTTAAACCAACAATAATACCAATCAAAATAAGAAATGGTAACCACGTTAATACAAATCCAAGAAAGCTAGAATGGTAAAAGATAAAATAGAATAAAATAAGACATTAAATGGAATTTATCTGTTTATCCTTATTAAACATGGTAATTCTATTGATCCTTTTAACATCTTACCTTACGAATTTTCCACAACAAAACATCCAAAACGTTAAATAGAACATATTGTATGATTGTTTTTGACTATAATTCATTGTGTTTAATGCCATGGCGACATGAGAATGACAATTATCGCAACATAAATTATGCTAGAACGACAATTAAAGAAAATTTAGAGAAAAACATTTCAGGGGATACAGCAAAAATCTGTACCATTCTCTTTTTGTATTCATCGGACGCTTGTTCAACAGCTTTATCAAAGAGACCTCGAGGATTAGAGTCTGGTATTCGATTTAAATCTAATTGTAAATAACGCGTGGGTCGTCCGAATGCCATATTGTCTTCCTGAAAAATAATAAACAGTTTTTCGATTTCTTTTACGTTTGATCTTATAGTTAAACCTACAGAAACATAATAGGGTCCAGCAAAATCTCTGATAACGCCATCGGTTCTTCCAATGCCCATATGTCCAATAAACGGTAATAGCCATCTGCAAAAAAAATAGCCCATTAATTAGGTAATTGTATTTTGTAAGTCAAACGTACGTTAAACAAGGTATAGGTGTCCAAACTAAACAATGTGGATAACGATTTCTTTTTGAATCAATTTTATCCATTCTATAATCAACTAAATTTGGTTCAACCATCACCGTACTTGTTGTTGTGGTTATCAGATCGTTTTTCGTCGCCGATGTTAATCGATCATCATTTAAATAATCAGAATGAATAGAGGTCATGGAGAAAAACAAAAGTCTACAATTTTATGAAATTGATATACATTCATAACAGATTATCGTCAATTTATTCATCCCAACTGTCTACAGCTTTTGAATGAAACAAATGGTTCACTGATATTACTTGTTGACATGAAGCTTATCAACTGCAGAGAAGATATCGAACTATTGAAACTGTCATTCGGCAGTATCCTACATCGGCAATGATAGCCGTAAGGCGGGATATTTTTCGTTTCTTCCTTCTTTCACTAATGTAACGTTATTGTGTGGGTTCAGAATAATCTCGGCTCTATGAGAGAGAAGCAAATTCAAACCGAAAAACACTAGATAACACTTGTTCTCGTATCCGATAACGACTTCACTAATTGACAAAGTGGGCTTATTATTTATATCTCAATACACTAAATCGAAAAGTCATAGAATAGTTATAAATAAACAGTTAAAAATGCGCATCACACAAACAATAACTGTCTTTACAATAAGTTTTACATTTATCTCAGTGTATTATATTTTACGTTTACATAACAATTCTCCCGTCGTCTTGTAGCACTCCCGTACGTATCTTCAACCTTTTGTCCATATTTGGTTCGCTGATTATAACTTTTTCAAACATTTAACTCTAATCGTTTCAATATTTTCGATATATTGCGTCAAATACGATCAAATTGATATCTATCGAGGTTAAATTGTTCACACGTCATTTTTGTTCAGTTCTGTCTATATCGTATTTATTTCAGGATGTCGTCTTTCATGCGCGTAAAGAGATTAAGTAATTAATAGTTTCATTTATTTCTGTTCAGCTAATTTCGAATGATTTTTTGAACGTATTCTTCGAATAATGTTTCAGTTTCATTAGACTTATAGTACCAATGTATCCCCCTAAACGAAACATTTCAAAACGTTGTCTTTATTAAGTAGAATGAACTTTGATATGGGGTGGATTGAAAATTCAACTTCAAATCTCCGCCGTACAAGGTGATACATGATACTCGCTCTTACACATACTGTCACAGCTTTATCGAAGATTCTCGTAATTTATTTCCTTATTAGTCAATTTTTAACTTGCAGTTATTTACCGGTGGATACATTCTCTCAACAAGATCTTTACTAAGAAACGAGTTTCTGAAAACAAATGTATCTGATAATGTGACTGAATTAAAACTTCACTTTTGTAGAATTCCAGTTTTCAAAATTAAAATTTGTTCGTTCTGTTATTGAAATGTATAAAAATTGATTTCAAAAGTACAAAAACTCAATATAAGAAAAAATGCTACTACACTTTTTTTTCGATCTCGTGCACGCCCAAAAAAAAAAAAATTTTTTTGTAGTTCTTTAACTTTTGCTTCTCTAATCAATTTTTTTTACTATAAGGTATCAGTCGTCAATAGTCTATGCCGCTTTAAAACTTTTTGATAATTTTCTCGTAGCGAACAGTGCTGACAGACATGAATGATCACGTGGCTCATTGTCTTTTTCAAAAAAACTTAAGGATGTTTCCCCCTCTTTTTTCATCTTGTTGCCAAATGGAGAGCACACGTTCGATCAAGCTCAAATTTATACCAGAGATAGAAGAGCGAAAAAGGAAATCGATATATTTCTGCTCAGAATTGTGTGACATGATCTTCTATGGGTTTTCTGGAAAACTCCAATTTTCATCCAATCACATTATGACCCCTCGAAAAAATGGTGGTCATAATGTGACTGGATAAAAACGGGAGTTTTCCAGAAAACCCATAGAAGATCATGTCACACAATTCTGAGCAGAAATATATCGATTTCCTTTTTCGCTCTTCTATCTCTGGTATAAATTTGAGCTTGATCGAACGTGTGCTCTCCATTTGGCAACAAGATGACAAAAGAGGGAGGGGTACCCTTAAATAAAAGTAGATGAAAATTTAATACGAAAATTCGTCACTAGAAAACTCAATAGCGTAAATATGGGTTCTATTGAATAAATGGTACTAATTATCAATGTAAATGATATTTAATGAAACTAAAAATCTGATCGTAAAAGGTAATTATTAATAAGGAGTAAATAGAGATTTGAACAGTGTAAAAGAAATTATAATAGAATTGAAGAGAATTGGATCAAATTGTATTGAAATGTTTGATAGTTTGTAGGAATAAGTTTTTTTGAAACATTGACCATTTTTCTTGATCTTCGGTAGTTTTCTAGCATTGATATGTAATATGATGTAATGTCAGCATGATTTTCTTTATTAATTAATGTTTAGAAAAATATTCATTGGTAGTGTTAAATAAACACATATGAATACCGATCCGATTTGTTGACGATAATTGATTATATCTTGATAATCGTTATCAAGGTCTTTTGATAAACTTTTGAATCTATTAATTACATTATTTAGTACTATAAATGTCTGCGCAACTATTTTATAAATATTCTATATAAATACGAAATCTTACTTTTTAAAATATCATCAAATAATTCCAGTGATTTTTCATCTTAATTACGAATAATGTAATCTTTCATTAATTTATTCATTCGAATAAGGACAATGATGTTTGATTTTTATGGTCGAATGACGGACACATGCGTTGTTAGACAAGTAAGATTTTAAACAAAATCGAATCGATGATAATGTTTTCATCAAACATATCATAAAGGACAACAAAGTATGGTATTGGTCTACAAATACAAACAGAAGACATTATGGCTCTTACTATCCGAGATTATATAGACAATAGAAGTGTTTTCTGGTCTGTGTAAAACAGTAGCAAGAAATTCCTAATTGTCATTCTTATCAACTGGTAATCTAAATCGAATCCTTCAAGTTCATTTAAATCTCATTACCTCCGAATTTTATTAAATGTCGGATAGTTAAAACTCTTACGTTGTGGTGCTTTTTTTGGATAGATTCACAGATGACTACAGAAATTTCTCTCAAATAGTCAGGAACTTTTAATTAAATGAGAAATGGATTGGTCACAAATATCTGGTTTAGATGCACAAAATAATTAAGAACAAAAAGTTTCATAAATAAACGTTGTTGACAACGAAACAATATTTCAGAATTAATTGAACTCTTTGAATGATAGACTATATAATCGTATAAGTAACTCTCTTTTCAGAAATAACCGACAAAAATGAAATTTATACATATACATACATATTAATTCTGGAACTGTTGTATAGTTTTGTTTATAAAAATAATAGAAAAAACAAACAAACACAAAACTACAAAAAACAGTCGAAAACATATGTTTCTTGTTAATAATTGGAGAAAAACGAAAAATAACAATATTTGTTTAATTCATAATGAGCCATATTCACATCCTGGTGTGAGCGCTATGGGTTGATTGTCAAACGGCTTGAAAGCCGGTCGTATGACTGCATGTATAGTATAGACAGAACGCAAGAAAACAGTGCCTATATATAGCGTCCTCATCAGGATGTGACTATGGCCCGTTAATTATATATGTATCTACAGAATAAGTAAGTTTCTAACGTATTTTAATCATCGGAAGAACGCAGAAAAAATAAGTCGCTGTTCTTTTATTCGTTCATTGGATCGACTGCGGGTGTCTGATTTGTATCAGAATTAGTAGAAGATTGTCGTTGTGTTGATGTTGGAAGAGGTGTTGAGGGTGTTGAATTATCACCTTCACTAGGAGTTTGCGGCGCATTAAGTCCTTGACCAGGAGGATCGTATGAAATATTAAACATTTCACGAACTTCGGTCGATGCTTTTCCACGAACCTACAAATAAATTATAAAATAATCCTTTTTTAAGATGAAGATGAGGTATGTGTGTGATTAACTTACCATATTGGCAATTGTTTTACACCCAACAGCTAATAATGTTTTTATACCAAGATAATTAGCAGCCATAATGATATCAAAAAGTGTCCCTTCTTTAACGGTAAATTGTTTAATAAACTCCTGATCCCACTCAGAAATGTCATCAGATCTAGAAAATACAAAAATATTAGATTCTGGTTACCAAAGTTTGCACAATCTTACCGTTTTGGTTCAAACTGATCTTTGTTTGGATCGTCGTCATCGTCGTCAACAACCGGCGGCTGGTCATCTTTATGATGTTCACAAAAGTCAATTATCTGATAAAAAATAGACAAAAGAAAATCTTTCATGAAGTGGTGAAAATCATTGTATTCATTATCATACCGGTTTTAAAATTGATGCTTTGACATTTGGTAATGGAGTTGGCATAGAATAAACAAGGTCACCAAGATCTAAATAAAAAAAAGATTTTCTTTCAATAATCAAGAGAGTTTAAAACGCTCAAAGATCAAGGTTTCCACTACACTACACAGAAACCGTTGCTTTGTTGTTCGCGCTAATCTATCCTTTCAAGTCCAGGTGTCCCGATTTTTTTTTTCGGTCCGGGAGGCACAGTGGTCGGTTTCGATGGATATTTTTTTATCCATAACCTATTGTGTTATACATGGTGCGGTGCAACTTGACACACTGATTCCGAATATGCCATTGGTTTTCATTGAAAGATGCTTTTAGACCAGAAACAGACGAATCTGCCTGAAAAATCATAAGATTTTAGGACACACACAAAATGGACAACGATCGGAACATTTCAGAAAAAAATTGAACATGCACGTTTCTTCAGACTTTTTAAAAGGTCAACACACCTTGATATACGACATGTTAAACGCCAAAAGAATTTTTGTTCGAGGTACTAGAAAAAGGATCCTGGTCATACATTTATCTAAAACTGAGGCTAAAACACGGAGATGTGAGGTAAAGACGTTGTTTAAATAAAACCTAAATCTCAGATTATGAAACTAAGAACTCCCAGCTATTAACCAGTGGAAAAAGTTTTTGTTTTTGAGTTTAAACTAACGGAGAAAACAAAGTAATGTTTCGAGCTAACAGCGTTTCCGTACACCTACGTTCAGTATAATGACGAATTCTACATTCTAAATATCTCAAATTTTCATAGAATATTCCCGAATATATTCCACAGTTATGATATTGGTACAACATAGCACAAACGTTTCGAGACTCCGGTATAGGTTTTCTAAAAACTCTTGTTTTTTCAGATAAAACATACTTTTCTTCGCTTATGAAGATTTCTATAAAAAGAAAAAAAGGTGATATTTGGAATCAGCGTGTAAAACTGTATCGAACCACGTATAAAACAACAGACTTGAATGAAAAGTATCCCAGTCAAACTTGTTTGCTCTGCTTTCATACAGAATTTTTGAAAAAATTAATTATCTTTTTTGAAAACGTTTTTTTTTATTTGTAAGGTTTTGAATAACTGAAGAATGATAGCGATCAATAAAAAAGGTTTATTCGCAAGAAAATTCTGATACGATCCGCATCACAAGCCAGAATTGCCCACTCTGACCCACCGTATCTATCATCTAGGAAAGTTTATGCATCAGTTTGTTAAGTTCACACTTGTAATAAAAACAGAAGAACATTTGTGTAAAGTTGCAACACTATGGAGTTTCAGAAAACTTGAAGAAACTCATTAGAAGAGACTCATTAGAGAAGACAGTTTTCGAAAATGTTGAAAATAATTTATTTTCTATTTGAGCTAAAGTACAATCCAGACACTTCTTTCGTTAAGAAGTAGCTCACAAAGTAACACATCGAAACCGGTATTGTTTTCAACGGTTAAATGAACAAGACGAAATAACTTGTAAAACGTTTTATTGATATTAGACGAAATACGATGAAATTTCCCGAGACGGCTGTAGAAAATTTTTTCAAGATACGAAACGAAAATGCTACGAGATAAAACGATACGTTCGAAAAACCGCGTTTTCGCTCATCTCTGGCTCATTTTCGCAACGAAAATCACTGCAAGAGTTTTGACAGAAAGTCCGAAAATCTAGAGAAGGGTTAAATCCCTGATCGAGACCATTGAGTAAAGTTCTCTTTGCTTCAACGATTACTAACGTACCACTGCACATTTCTTTGATTGTACTTGATTGTTTAATAATGTCTTGGCCGATTTCAAATACTACTCCATCATTGGAACTAATTTTAATTTTTTCTGTTGATTCAGTTGATGTGGTAGGCGGCATTGTTTCAGTTGTTTTACTTTTCAACAGTAGTTTTGTTTTATCGTTGTTTTTCGTTAAATTCACGACAAAAGTAAGCTTTTTCCTGTATTGAATCAGTTCCCAGTGTACTTTCAGCCTTTCGATGAAATTATAAGTACACAAAAACAACTTTTCTTTTCTTTTCATACATAACGATAAAAATCACGTGTTTACACGTCATCATTCGACACGGTAATGTCGCATGAATAATAGACTCTCAGACAGAAAAATACGAATTGCGATGAAGCTGCAAAACAAAGAATGTTGGTAAAAATATGAGTCATTTACGCTAAAAAAACCTTGTCGGGACAGCCCCTCTTTAGGGCGAAAATGGTGAAACTCCTTTGTAGATCTTTCACTTCTAACAAGTAAAGCACTACTACGTTATATTAATATTATAATATAGACAGATGGTGCGAGACTTTTATCTGTTTTGAGATAAATGATAATGGTAACTAGGGATTTTTCACTTTATTACACATTTTTTTACTATAAGAGTTTCACAAAACCTATATTTGATCTACGTTCACAAAGACTGTAGAGATGAAGAGTGAGAGAAATACTGCTTATAGAAAAGTTTTTTTGATTAGACGAAAAAGCACCCGTCGTACACTTCGTTGCAACGATAAAAATAAGGTCAAAAATATTTTTTTCATGATCACCTTAAAAAATATTTAATCGAATATAGACGAATGAGCAATAAAAACTAAGATAAGAGCATTTTTAATCTATCAATATCTAGAATTGTAATTGTAGATATTAATACAGTACCGAATTTATATCGCATTTTATTAAGAATTTTTACTTAGTTCGACGTTTTCGACAATACATTTGTCATTATCAAGAATATGTGTGGTAACAAAGATATTACAGTAAGAGTAGAGTTAGATATATGAACTTTCACATATAACTTATTATAACTAGACAATGTTACGAAATAGCTTAATAAATAGGAATAAAAGAAAATAGGAAGAGAGAACTGTACAGCTAGGCAAATAGAAAATAGAAAAATAAGTATCAATATCTAGTTGTTTCTGCTGTATGAGTGATTACTACTCAACGATGAGTTAATCTAAATTCCAAAACGGTAAACAACATTACCGGTGATCATTCTGTAGAAAAATATACATGCAATTCTTACATGCTTAAATATACATGCTTGATGTATTTTTGTGTATGGTTTCTCTGGAATAAAACATGACATTTGTAAGAAGGAACGTTGAATAATATTGACATGAAGAGAACAAAAGCAATGCTACACAACACAGCTCCGCATGGGACGAGATGGAGCCGAATGTTTCTTCTAACACTCTCCCAACGTGCAAAAATTGTATTAGGAAAAAGTGCATAACAGCGCAAAAAAATGTCCTCCTTAGAGCAGAAAAACGCTCCTGGTTCTACTATCACATACTCGTACCTCATTAGCTTACCTAACGATATACATTCTTGAATAAGTTTTCTTAATGTGTGTCTTCAACAACACGGAAAATGTTTTACACCGACACATAATCATGCTGCTTCTAAATTTTTGATCTTTTTTTGTTCTTGTTCATTTAGTTTGTATGAGAAGAAATTGAACGATGTGTATAATGTGATTTTCTGCTGTATTTGATTATCAGATGACGAGATTAAACATTTATGTTTATTTAAAAAACGTGTACTTGTCGGTTTAAATGAATGATCAGTTTCTCCAATCGCGTCCCGGCTCTCGAAATAAAAATCAGAAATCGTCTCGCGTCTCGTCTAATGTAAGAATTTCGACCTGCGTTCTGTCTTGTGACACGGGACTCTCAGTCTCACGCGGAACTCTGCTACACAAAGTGATTTTAAAATCTCAGCTAAAGCAAACCAGAAAAGAATCTGCTTGAAAATCAGAATCAGTTATTGTTCTATTTCTTAATTAGCTTTATCCTCTTTGAAGAAGAAAACACGTCGAATATTGACAACTTTTTTAGTCGTTGATGCGTTAGATGTATAAATATAAGACTGAAAATGTGGCGGTGATTCCACAGTGCATGGAGGGAATGTCTAACCTGAGTTGGGTGAGAATCCTTCTCTTTATTATCAGCCCTGAAAAAGAAACATATTATACGATACAAAAGAAATGGAAAAAATGTCAAACATTATTTCTGCATGTTCCCGATGTGTGCTGAAAAGTTCCTTATACTTCCGTTCGATAGAGCAAAGTCTGAACTTCAAAGAACATAGAAAACAAAATTTTTTGTAGTCGACTTTGAGTGAGAAAAGATCTAAATACCAAACGTTGTCAAAATGCTCTTGCAATGCACTTTTTTCTTTAATGTTTCATTACAATCTGAGGAAAAAAACTTTTTTGATAACCAAACAGATGAGAATGTAGCCCGCGCAAAACTGTATCGATCCGTTACTGTCGAAAAGTTTTCATTAACTTTTTAAAAGTAACAAGAACCGCAGTATAAAACTCAGTTTTGGTTGAAAGCTCTTAGGTTTCATGAGAAAGGCAGGATATTGAGGAAATTTGTTTATTCAGGGCTCAAGATATGTCAGTAACACTTAAAACTAATGTGATTTTGTAAAGAATTGAATGTTGTTTCAGAAGATGTGTTTTAGCAAAAGGACAACGTTCATTTAATATATGAAAATTATAAATTAAGTTTAATTAACTCTTTTTCTGAAACTAATGGCAAACTTCTGAATTTCTAATTGAAAAGTGATCGAAAGATAATTTATCACATTATATTCGAAAGAGTGATAAAAACACTTCTACTTTCTGTACTTACATAAATTCGAACGTACTCTGTTATAGTGAAAAAATACTTTTGATGCGGGCGATACGTTTGAAGAGAGTAGGAGTTGCAAAAGTTTTTTTGACATCGTTTAGTATTTGGGTCTTTTCTCACTCAAACTCAATTACAAAATATTTTGTTTTCTATGTTCTTTGAAGTTCAGACTTTGATCTTTCGAACGGAAAAATAATGAACTCTTCAGCACATCTAGAACATGCAGAAATAATGTTTGACATTTTTTCCATTTCTTTTGCATTGTATAATATATCTGACACATCAGAAAAACCTATCTCAGTTAAATACATACCGTTATTTATGTGATATCTTTGTTTATGATAAAAAAAATTTCTTATGCAAGGCTGAAGAGGAAAAAAAGGTCATCATCCATCAGAAATATATTGAAAGCTCTTCAGGTCGACTGGGGAAAGGTTCGGCACATTCTAAATCTTTTCTGAAAAGTATTAGAGCTCATTTAAATCAAGAAATATCAGATTCGATAAACAATTTTTGAAAATAAAACAATAAAAGTACAGTGAACAGCTGAATGTTACTGATTAAATTTAAAGAGATAAAAAATAACAATGATAACGCTTATTTTAGAAAATAATGTAAAAATCTTTAGTACTTTATCTTTGGGTTATTTTGTCACAGAGGAACATGGTTGAATTGTTGATGTGTTTGCATAAACAAGAACATCCTGAAACACAAATAAAGAAAATTTCTATTTTACACCCATCAGTGAAATAATGTCGAAATACCAAGCACTTACTTCAACTAATATTTGTGCTGCGTCTTTTCCACGATATCGGTCTAGTATATACGTATGCTATCAATCGATTGTGTCACCATCAGACTTAGTATAGGATTCGGATAAACTACACTTGTGATACACAGCCAGAGAAAGGAAAAGAACACATCTGAAACAAAACACAAATAACGTTTACACGAATGATTGATATAGAATCCATAAACTTACATTCATGAGACAAACGCATTCACGTTGGGACTAAATTGTGCAAAAATAAATGCGTAATAGTTCTAATGAACGTCTTTCCAGTATATACTATCCACATATGTAATAGACAAAGCGACATATCCTCTGGGTCTGAAGGATTTTCGACCTTGCCATATCTGGTGGTGCCATTGGATTTGGTTAATTTTGATTTGACAGTGAAAACCACACAAGGCTTTCGGAAATACTGAAATTAAAGATATTCGCCATTATCATTTAATTTCTTAAACAAGCTCATTCAACAGAGTTCACTTTTAGCTATTTAAAACCATTTTTGTTTGGGAAAAACTCAAAACCTGAACGATTTTCAAGGGTTTTGGACTAAAAGTTGAGAGCTCTTAGAAGATCTACGATGGCTAAACATAATTCTAAAAATTTGATTTCATTATTTGATAGTAGAGAGCATGCACTTAAAACGTATATGGATGTAAGTTTCGGACCCAAACCCGAGGTCATTTTCCAGAGGTATTTAAGAAAACATGGGGGAAGGGATTTTACCCTTACTTTCTTCCTGTGAATGGGAGGAGTGGGAACACCACATGGAAACATAGCTTATCGACCCTCCTGATCATCATGATGATGTCTGTTTCGACATCAAATAGAAAGTTAGATTAGGTCGTAAAATCGTTTTTTGTGCTTCTCCGATGGAAGATGCAGAGTCATCAGTCACTGTAAGTACACGGTGAGAAAGAAAACAGATATCATCACTGTCAAGTCAGAATAACCAAGTCCAATGGCGCCATCAGAATCGAAAACCCTTAAGACCCTGAGAGTATATTATCGGAGTGTTATGCCTCGGCTCTAGATAGTTTTTAGTCGATTTGGAAAGACGCTCATTTCTCATTCCATGCATGTGCGATACTTATGTCTGTTCCACCTGTGTTGCTTGTCTCTTCTGTGCCCACTTCTGGCAACTCGATATATTGTCTGTAGCCAATGGGCTTTTGACATGACCTCCATTCATCTAGTATTTATCAGACTGCAGTTATGGACAGAAGACTAGCTGTAAAGTTCTTTCACCCAGTTACTTGAGTCCTGTATACATATTTACTAATCGCGTACTAGTTTTCTAAGTAGGAACTATGCTGTACATCACAATGTAATACGTATGCCACCATACGGGTAATCCGAAACATATATGGATAAGTAACTCGCGCAATGTTAGACTTGTCTGCACTGAGGTTAGACCGCAGGACCTTTGAAGTACATGATGAACAACATAATCGTGAAGCCAATCTATTCCAATACAATCAGAAGTTCTTCTCTATACAAGCCTTGCCTTATTTAATAAGCGACATAAAAGAAAGTAACTGTAATTTTCTTACCTGTCAACGATTTGTTTAATTTTACTTCAAATTCTTTGGCACTGTGATTATGATTCACATTTATTTATTTATTCTCAGCTGAATATTTGCCAATCAACATGTTTCTCTTTTTTCTCTGTTTTGAGCTAATATATAATCTTAAAAAGAAAAGAAAATTATTATTTTTCGTAGATTTGACATAAACATCGCCCACATTTTCAAGAATGGATGTATAAGTAGGTAAATGTTTATTGATCAGAAGAAAACGAGAGAAATAGATGTTATGAATGTAAAACGCTCATTCATTTTTTCTTATTTAAAATGTCTTCTTTGATTTACTTAATATAAGTAAATGAATCATTTATCATCGACAATGAAGACTATGTTAACAAGAAAAAAAAGTAGCAGCATCAATGAGTTAAGGTAAATGAGGCATTTCTAAAATTTGTGTAGTTACATCAGAATAACAATAAGAGAAAGTAACCAAAAAGTTTTTGTTTATTTATTTGGAAATGTTTATTGAAATAACGGTATTCCCGCTACAATCAACACCAAAACTTTAAAACTCACGTTGACTATAACACTAACAACAAATAACATTTTTATACAAATTTTCTATACGTTTTTTTTCTTTAACTATCCGTACTTTACAATTGTTTTACGTGATAACCAATCTTACACTACCTTTCTAGATGTCTATCTCAGATAGTACATCAATCTATATCTGTTCATTCGCAATTCTTGACAAAAACAACTCACTTCAGATGCCGTATTTCTATAAATCTGTTATTCATTTTTAAAAAGAGATAGAGGCCATAATAATTATATATTTAAATATAACGTAATTTATTTAAATCGTCGCTAGGAAAAGGTTGCATATATCTATAAAATGATAAACCCTGTTAATATAAGAGCAGACATATACAAGGTCCTAAATAGAGCTGAGCTATTCGATGGGGCAAGCAACTTTTCCCGTCCGAGATAGTATGAATTTCTAAAAAAATATTTTCTACTGTACGTCTCAAGCAAAAATCACCTATGGGAAAAATCTAGATACATTTCGTTTATAATTTGGGTGACTCAGCACTACTAGTTGTCATCTAGATTACTACATGAAAAACGCGTAACTCTGCTACCGGAATCTCTGTGCGTTACCGTTTTTTCTCTTTTCGTCTATCCTATAATTTTCGGAAAGAATATCGTAGAATCCTGGAAAGCGTCTTGTTTTGTAGAATGAAGTGCGTTCTTCAAAATCCATCACTAGCTCAGTTCAAAATAATTAACGCTTTTTATGCTGTACTTAAAATACGAAGAGCCCCAAAAACATTGTCGTCTGTTTTTAGGGCTTTTAGTATTTTATTTCCATTGTAACCGAAAAGTCGTCAATTATTTCGAAGTGAGCTAGTAGTGGATTTTGAAGAGCGCACTTCATTCTACAAAACAAGACGCTTTCCAGGATTCTACGATATTCTTTCCGAAAATTATCGGATAGACGAAAACAGAATATCGTTTTCTATTAGGAGCAAATCCCAAAACCGATATTCGTTTAGTAAGCTACGGATTTTTTTTAGAGAGCATGAGTACGACTTATTCAAAATATTGTACTAGAGTACTCGATGACTATCCACCGAGTAAGGTATACTCATTGAGTATTGAATACTCATTCACCTTTTTGTGTTGCAAAGATGTAGCTATATAAGATACACAGATTTCACCGTAGAAACTTAGGATTTTTTCGCTAGTATTTCTGTCACAATCAGAGACGCGCTCGCCTACGATCGGACTCGTAGCTAAACTCTGAGTATCCGACGATATTTCTTTACAAGGATGATAAACGGAAAAGTGTCCAAAAAACCTAATGAATTTTATGTAAAATCTCATTTGAATACTCATGAAATTCTCATATGAGTACTCACATACTCAATACTTGCACATGAGTACTCATAAAAGTGCTCAGTGAGTAAAAGAATGCATGAGTACTCGGTGCATTATTCTATATAGTACGCGTATGAGTACTTATCCCTGAGTGCATTCACTGGAGTGCTTTATCAACAAAATAACTTGGCATATTGTCACAACAAAGCTTATAAGTCTAAATAGAACAACAGGAAATTGAATCAGCTCGAAGGATAGAAGCGTTTGCATCAAGGGAAAAAAGGCGACTCTGAGAGCTTTCCAGAGCCGTTGAAATGCTTCTTGGAGCTTGAGATGCTCAGCATCCGATGCAGAGCGATTCTATCCGATGCTGTTGCGCTGCTCTCCGATGCTAAGAAAGAAAAAAGTCACCTTTTCCCAAAGCTATCAGAGCTAGTATAAAAAATTAATTTTTAAAAGTTTTATGCAGATGTTTCAATTACTGGGTGAGGTACCCCTATTCAGGCCCTCCCGCTATTTAGGGTTCTGATCATATATAAAAGACTAGTGTAAATAAAATAAATAAGAAGTCACAATAAGAATAGCAGGAATTAAAAAGGTACCTCTGCTAGTCTCAGCCAAGTATTAAAGTAACTTACCTAACGAGTAATTTTAGGTACCCATCCCAGTAATATCACAGTACTTAGACATACTTGACTTGCCGCAGCCAAAATTCTTAGGTACCGATTTCAATTACATTCACTAGGAAACATGACAATAGATACTAAAAAAATAAAGGTTAATTGATGAAAATATAGTGGAATATTGTTCGATTAAAACATGAATGAGAGCAAAGATGAAATCACTGACTGTGGAATATTATCAAATTTTGTTTTTTCTGGTCAGTGACTGACTAGAATAGTTTTAGAAGAAAATTGTTGAGTAAGATGTGGAATACAAAGATATTCATGGCCTAAATAATGGAAAGAGGATTGAGAGGTTAGTTACATTTCCTTGCTTTTGAAAATTATTTCGGTGCGTTCTCTATAATTCCAGGCAGAGGAAAAAGAATATTTTTTTTCAGCAGCAGAAAACTTTTTATAACAACCGCCCTGCTTTTTATATGAAGCAACGTTGCTGAAGATATTTAGTGTTGTTAATGAGGTAGTGAAAGCGAGATGACTTTATCGAATAGAAAATACGAAGAGGACTTAAGTAATGATAGATTTTATAGAATAAAGCAGATAGGAGCATTTTCGATGAATAGTCAAATTTAGAAAAGGGAGTGAAGAAGAAAGATCAGTTTCATTCATAGTTTTAATCATAGTACAGTTTATTCAAACAGTAGTGAGTGACTGTTATTTGAATAAAATTTGAGAATGGCCATATGAGAGGCTGAAATAAAACAAGATGATTACTTCAATTAAAACAACTACAAACTTTATTGTATTTTGTCAAAGAACATAGTTGTTTACGTAGTAATTAGAGTTCTGAAGAATAATCTGAGTCGCAAAACGATTCACCGAATGGAAAGTAAAGAGATCATATCAGATATCATACAAGGCACGGCAATAATTAAGTTTGGAAGAATGAAAGCCAAGTATATGTCCTTTCTTTTTACCAACAGTATCCGCAACATGCGAATTCCAGCTGAGATCGTGTGAAAGAAGAAGATTAAGACAATGAACAGAAGAGACAAAACTTGTCAGCGTTGACCTAGTGGGCAAAAATGTGAAAACTTTTTTCAGGGATCTACATAGCCTATGAACATGGTAAAGACTTAGTATTTAAAGGAGAAATATTCTCATTCAAATATTCATTAAATTCGATCGTGTAATAAACTGATACTTCTAATGGGGCTCTTAGTAGACATACGAAAAAATCTGCCCTTTCCCGTTCTATATTTCAGAAATTTTACAAAAACGATGTGCTTTTTTCGTTTTGTTACGAACGAAAAAATCCGATTCTCGTCGTACGTCCTTTAAAAATACCTGAGATTGTGTGTCCGACCGGCCGTAATGAGAAAAGAACAAAAAGTGCAAAAACAGCCATTTTGTTTCTCCCCACCCCCCACCCCCTCAAAAAACTCTTAACTTTAAAAACGACTGTCTTTCTCGATCATCAGACGCTAGGGCTCCGACATTTGGGCTGCCAGTGACATCAGCGGTTCCAACTCTGCACTGGGCTACGCCTCAGAAACAGATGTGTTTGGTTGTTACATACTATCACTGTAAGTTTCATTAAAAATCTATTGAACTAGCTGATCAGTTTGTGCATACTCTGACGAAATGACATTTTTTTTTCTTTTATTTAACTGTATTTCTGAGTTTCTCTGATTTTCACACAAAAAAATCTTTGGGTTTCTGCATTTATAGACAAAAATATCAGTATAATAAAAAATACTACGAACTACACAAACTAAACCAAATGATTTTTCATAATAATATTTGAAAAGAGGTAAATGTGCATTTTATATTTTGCTATAGAATACTCTCACTGTGGTTCATACCAAATGTCTTGAACAAACAAATTTATATTTAAATCAAAAAAAGAATCGAGAATGGGTATGAAATGTTTAATACACTGTAAAAGAACAAGTACCCAGAGCCAGAATCGGTTGAGATACGGTAAATCGGTCCGATCCGGCCGGTCTAAAAGTGTAACCGAACAGGTCCGATCGGTAAACTAGCCGGTTGGAATTATAACTCAAACCAGCGAAAAACTGGCAAAGTTTTTTGAAAATCGATTTCAGAAAACATTTCCCTCATGAAATGAAATAGTTTGCGAGCACATGTGAGAGAATCTGCACAATCACGAGTCTATAACATTTAATCTTAAAACAAGTGATGAAAATAATATCTGTCTTGAGCATCGTCCTATTTATTCTGACTCAAAAAGGCGTGAAATTTTAACTTTTGACGAAAAACAGGGTAAAAAGAGCAGATGTCTCAAAAGTTTCGACCAGTGAAATATCGGTCCCTACCGGCCCGGTTCCAGCTATGCAAGTATCCTAGGACACTTGTTCTTTTTTATAGTGTACTTGTAGAACGATGACTCTCGCTAAGTATATGACTAGAGTGGTTTGATGAATAAAATAAAAATATGGCATAAACCTATATCAAAAAAGGTCGCAACCAATATTGGATAGCTCGAGATGAATGTTTCTAATTGAAAATAAGTTGTTTGATAATTTGAGATATGAAGAAACAACCCTTTTTGTGGTACCACAATGAACGGGAAAAAAAATACATCATCAATGTGTAGTCTTGGGGACACTAAAAACTTAGTCAAGGAACGTTTTTTGACACCGTAGTTTCGAATTTGGTAGGATTATGGCATATTTCTATACCTTTTTCATAAAGTCGCTTTGGCCATGTGAACAAGAATATGTAAAAGATGATATTTAAATAAAACTAAACAAAAAAGTTAATAAGAGAATGGCTAGAAAAGAACAAAAATAAAAATAAGAACCAAAGACAGTAACTGAAAAATAAATAAATAACGGTATTCGAGTATATAATAAAATTAAAAAATATAAAATTTATAGTAGAAAATGGATAAGATACATTAGATGCAAAATACTAGAACTTGAAATCATGCTGGTCTCAACGCTTGTGTGTCCGGCGTTCGCGTCTAGAGCATCCGAACTATGGAAAATACGGTGAAACAATATTTTTTTAAAGGATGAAAGAGATGATGAAATCTTTGACTGTGATAGATTAAGATTGAATATAAAACGATTGGATAATTATGTCGTGCACTTCTTTGATTTTTAAGCACACAAATAAATTGAATGGAAGCTTTAGATTTATACTTAGCAAAAATGTGAATTTTGTTTAACAACGAATGATACAAAAATAAGATGTATACACAACGTAGTTCAACAAAAGTAACGTTTACATGCCACTAAAACACTCGAAAGATATATCTTTCACACATGTTAATAATAATAAACATATTAGGCAAGATCATATTAAATATAAATTCATCATTCTCTAATTTATTACAATAAATTCTTATTTTCTTTTTAGTAATCCAAATTCCCTAAAATTTGCTTCACGGAAAAAAGTTGGCGATAATTATCAACATCACAATAGTGAAAATTGGGACGATCCGGATTATATTAATGATCATCGTGTATCACAGCGTCGTAGTGTTTTAATCGCTCAAAAACGTGAAGCCGATGAACACATTGTTCAGAAACATTTTGAAAGATTAAGACAAAAATGTAAATTGACCAATGCTCAATTTCAGGATAACACATTTCCAGCGAATAGTTACTCATTATACATTAATGGTCATTCACTATCAGAAACCACTATTCAGTTGTTACCTCATCAATCGCACCCACATCATGTACAAACAGTTGTTCAATGGTTAAGATCTGATAAAATACTGACACACCATCGGGCAGAAAATGTTCGTACACAATGGACAGTATTCAGAGATCCAAAGCCAAATGATGTTTTACAAGGAGCGTTAGGTAGAAAAAATATAACAGGCCATATCGTAATACTGTTGAACGTTTTTTTTTCTTAGGTGACTGTTGGTTTATTACTGCATTAAGTGTTCTTGCAGAAAAACCCAAATATTTAAAGGAGGTAAGAATATATGCACTTCATTTATGTTTCCAAATTTATTAGTTTTTAGTCTATGCACTATAGGTTTTAATTACTCAGGAATACAATCCTGAAGGTATTTATTATGTTCGACTATGCAAAGATGGTATGTGGACTCAAGTACTTGTTGATGATCGTTTTCCATGTACGAAATTTCACACACTTGCATATTCACAAGCACAGCGAAAACAATTATGGGTGTGTATTCATTTTCGTACAGAAACATGTAGGAAAAAAACTTTTGTGGTTCTTATACAGGTAGCATTAATTGAAAAGGCACTAGCAAAATTAAATGGGAGTTATGAAGCAATTATAGCTGGACAATGTTGTGAAGGTTTGTTACATTAATAAATCGAAAACAAAATACGATTGTAGACTAATAATAGAAATTCCTAATTAAAGCTACACTAGGACTACTAACGTTTGATAAAATTTTAAGAAATCTTTGTAGGTTTATCAATGGTAACTGGTAGACCATGCGAAACAATAAATTTAGGTAAAAATCATAATATTGTCCTATCACGATTGCTTTAATTGACTATCTATATTTTTTCAGGCCAATTCAATAATTCCGCTGATAAAAATGCGAATTATAATAAATTGTGGGAAAAATTGTTACATTCTCGTGATAGTGGATTTCTTATGTGTGCTATGTGTAGTAATAGTTCAATAGATAAAGAAGAATTTGAAAAATCTGGTCTATTAAACACTCATGCTTACTCTTTACAAGATGTCAAGGAGGTGAATGGTCATCGTCTATTACGGTTAAGAAATCCATGGGGTGGTACCTATCGATGGTTAGGTGGGTGTAACCTATACAGTGGTATTACATTATAAGAGCAAAGTACTGAAAGTATCGCTATTACAGCCTTGTACGACTCTTCAGAAAAGTTATTAGTTTAATTCGCTAAAAAAAATTTTGTTTTATTCTTATCTCCATAAAAAGCTTTTCTACTATTTTATGCTGTAGGTGATTGGTCTGATGATTCATCATTATGGACGCAGAATCCAGAATTACGCTCTGAATTATTGCGTGAAAAACGTAGTAAGAAAGACGGTGTGTTTTGGATGCCCTTTCTATCATTTGTCAAATATTTTGAATATACTGATATATGTAAGCTGAGAGAAGGCTGGTACGAAGTAAGAGACAGTGCCAACTTTTATCCAGGAACACTAACACAAAACGACCAAAAACAACAACAACAACAACGTTCGTTATCCACATCATCGTTACCTGAACAAAGCGAACCACGGCAAGAAACATCTTTATCATTGTTAACAGCAACAAATAAAAAGTTTATGCAAGGTAAATACATCTATCATTCGCGATTAGGTACTTCATTCACTGTTATGCTCATTTAAGCTTATTATTTGACAATAAAAAATGAGACCGAATTAGATATTACATTATATCGTAAAATAAATAAAAATTTACGTACTCAACGAAGTGAAGTGAGTTTATGTGTAGCCATTGTTAGTATGAAACAAACCCCTGCGTATCAAATTTGTTCGATATCAATGATTAGTAATAGAATACAAGGCAAACTTGTTTCCACAGACGGGTGTTTGAAAGCTGGCAGTTATGTAATAGTGCCACTATTATTTAATCCAGATAATAAAAGATTAGATAGCACCGAATTTAATATTGGTAACGCTCTTTTCATTACTGTTCAGTCGTTGAATCTTAAAAATCGTGTCTCCAATTTTTAGCTATTCACAGTTCACTTGCAATCGATTTAGAACGTGTTACGTTTCCTATTCGACTTCAACGTGAATTCTTAATTAGACTCTGTGTAATCTATGGTGAAAAAGTAAATACGAATACTCGAAAAAAAAAATTTTGGAAAAAGAAATCTGATGGCATAGTTATTTATGAATTAAAAAAATTCTGGGATGGTCTCGTGATATTAGTTGAGAATAGACGACAGACAAAATATGTTCATTTTCATCTTCGATGTACATTAACTCAAAATGCGTTTATATCTCGACAAGAAAAGCATGAACTATATGATTCAATACCGCCATTACATCGTCAAATAGTGGTGACTATTTCTAGAAAAAATGCCTCTCATTCATTCACCATAGGTCACGAATATGTAAATTATAAACTATCTACGGATAGCCAGATTAAACATTTAAAGAATAGACGTAAATATGATCACTATCCTGAAATAAGTATGGACAATGACGACGATATTCACATTCCACAAAAAATACCAGACAACGAATCTTTCCAGGTCGAAGAATCGTACTAAGATCGTATCTGAATCAGACAAAATCGTACCAAATCGTATAAAAATCATATATGAATCGTGGTATCTGATTTGTCCTCCGGATCGTATAATACGATCGTACAACTTCGTATGAAATCGCACAGTACGAGCCAGACGATAAATCAGGTACCACGATTCGTATGTAGATCGTATATAATCGTATACGATCTTGTAGGATCGAATAGTATGATTCAATCACCTGAGTTAACATGATTAAAATTCTCTTCATATTTTGCTCTTAGCTGTTATTTTTGTTATTTTATTTATTTTTTTGTTATAACTTATAAGTCAACTGTTTATTTAACTTATATCGATAACAGTTAGTGTCAGACAAATTTTTACTATTTTGCATATACATCTTACATGTGGAACAATCGGAGTGTTCCTTGCTTTTTCCTTAAAAAATCTGCTTTATTTCATGGATAATTTTTTATTTTAACTTTGACATTGGTATCCATTTCGACTGATAGGCCTTTCTTGATCGAGTTTACGAAAAACAGGCTTCAGGAACCCTACTAAAAGCGTCGAGCTAAATTCTTATACGTTTGTAGAGCATATCGACTTGTTTTTAAATGTTCAGACATATCTAACAAGTTTTTATACAGACATACAAATTTTATCTTGATTTTTACGTTGTGCGAAGCTTTTGTATCTAACAACTAACTGAACAAATTAAAACATAATGCAAAAATGTTCCTATAATAAAAGCATTCTACTGACTGGCTCGGCCCGCACAGGTCTCTCCAAGAAACTTACATTTTTTCTTCAGACTGGATCTTACAGCTTCGAGATTTTTATGGAGCGGGCAGATCTAATCGCTGATCTAAGATGATTGGCTCAAATCAATTCAAATATTTAATTCCTGTAATCCACTAAATCAGAGTTGTTATTACTATGCATCTCAAAATATAAAGATCACGGACGTTTTTTGAATAACTTTTGAACGAAAAAATGCTAGAGACCTACGGTTTTCAGATTATGAAAGAGGACACTCGGGGGCATAAGTATGTGCTAAAATGAGCTTTTTCGACAGCTCTACCATAGTGTACCTTTCAAAACAAAATGTCCGAGTCTGCCATTCCAAAAATCCTTATATTAAAGTACTACTCTAAAAGCATGTGGATATATAACAGATGTCGCTCTATAATCAGGTGCAAGTCTCAAGCTCCTATCTACCGTGGTTCGGACGCTACAGGTAATCTTCAAGAACCTGCCTACCGGCTATACCCGAACTCTGGGAACCACAAAAGTGCATGACACAAAATACGGTGTTCATATATAGGATGGCATCGGCAAAATAAAACGGTGAATGGTAACCAATGATTACTCAAAGATCTTTGGTACAAAGTGTCAAAATATTTCTGTATCAAAGATCTTGAGTCATGATCTTGTGGGAAGCTATTTTACAGTCAAGATCTTCGATATAAAATAATTTTTAGGATTTCGCACCCAAGATCATGGATAAGATCTTGGGAAGAAAAATATCTTGACATCTTATACTAAAGACTTTTTCGAAAAAAATCTAAGATGTCAAGATCTTGGTTCCAAGGTGTTCGACTAGGGCAAGTATATTGTGATGTTCATAGTGTATCCGCAACAGACGGATTAGGATTCATGCTGTCGATACAATTTTAGACTATATCAGAAAAGCAAATGAATCGAGAGATATAATACAGAAATTATAAAACAATATCGACTTTTCCTGACATTTATAAAACTACTTCGACCAGTAACAACAACAATCTATTTTTATTGCTCTCACTTTATGTTCTTTTCTTCTTTCTCTAAGTCCAACGTTTTTCTTTTCCTTTCGTCCATTTTTATTTTATGATGATGTTCTGTTTAAGGATTCCTCTCAGGAGATACAATGTAGTCCTTAGGACAATGATTTCACTTGTTTGGTCTTCTTTTCTT